GCAGTGTGTGTGTGTGTGTGTGTGTGTGTGTGTGTGTGTGTGTGTGTGTGTGTGTGTGTGTGTGTGAAGAGCTCTTAGCGTTACCCAGCACCCACTACGAGGAGATGGCTCTTCACGGGTGCCGCGTGCACATAGACCTTATTGAAAACAAATATAAAACAAAGTGAAATAACAACATCTTAATGCAATTAAACAATTTTGAAGACACTGACTACAACTCACGTGAAAATACATTGCTGATTGTTTCTATCTTCTTCCTAAATTACGTACCTCACTCTGGAGATTGTGTTTCGACTGAAATGGTTTCTTCTGCGTACTACAGTTAGCATTTCATGTAGGATTTTCATTAAATGTACATATACCACTTGACGTCATGACCAAGAAATGGAAAAAAAAGACATGTACAGATAGTATCTTTGCATTATTCAGACAGAAGATAAGATGGGACCTTACACATGATCTTTTAATCGTGAAACGATATCTACCCATTTTTATGAGGATGTGTTTTTGTTATAATTAAAATGTCACATTCATTAACCTTTGGTTGTTATGGGTCACAAAAATATAAAGCACTGAATGTGATTCGAACTCGCATCTTGAACTCAGGCTCTGTAATTTCACCTGTTTAGCAAATTAGAGTTAACCTGGTTTTTACTCAATATATAACGGAACATTATAGACTTGTTTGTGTTCTATTTTGTGGGTTTAAAGGGGACTCACACGCCTTTTATCTCAGTAATTTCTCTACTGTAACACCATCTACCCTACCCATAACTGCATATACGATATGTTCTCCCTTTAGTAACAGAAGTTTCTATCTTGACCAAACAATAGAAAGATTACGAGTTCAAATATTTATAAACAAAACCTATAGCGAATGATTCAAAGCTCTCCTTTACGGTTGATTAATAATTATACGTGATAAGAATAGTTTTCCAGACCTTTGGGCTGAATATCAGTATTGATTAAGGGAACAACCTTATCAATAGGTGAATCTTCAAGCTCTTTATGATCAACTCCCATGTGGAATCACGCGAGACTGAATGGTCACAACTGGCGGTGGTGTTGTAGAACTATAGATATAATGATTTATGCATTTATAATAATGGTTAAAAACATATTAATACCCTGGCACAGGGACCTATTAGGATCTTGATTTGTCAATTACAGACTCAACCCTACTGAGTGAATTCAAATGGTCAGTCCATGACGAAGTCCATTTTCTTACATTACTAGAATCTGTGAATCCATCTCATGTACCCAGTCATCACATTAGAATTTTAAAAAGTATAACTGGCCATTAAATAAAACTCTATGTTCAGAACGCTGTAAAATGATGAACTAAATATCATACTTGAAAAGAGTATCCCAAAGTCATCTAAAATCCCTCCCATGCGAAAACCATGGTTTAACGATGACTGTACAAAAGCTGGAAATGCGCGGATAAGACACAGAGCATTATTTCTGTCGCCATCATCTGGTCTATTAGTTGAATATATTAAAGATACCACATGCTCAAACACGGCATACTTTTAAACAAAGTTAGCACTGCTCTCGGCGAAATTATGTATGAATTCATGAACACGTTATCAAAAGTATGAGCCATTATCCAGAACATTCAAAGGTAAAGGTTTTATGTTCAAGATAGCCTATCAGCTGTAGCTCTTTGCCTTAATTGCATTATATTTTGTGTGCTTTGAGATCAATTATTAACCAGTAAATCTGATATTGGAAACAAACTTTGGGAAACATTCTTCTTCATTTGATCTTGCATCATATTGTCAAATCCCAGCAAGACAAGAAAACTATGATTCATTTCAATTGAGAAAAAAATTACAATGACATATTTCTTATTCATGTGTTCATGAAAAAAACAACCCAATCACAATACTGCCATATGAACTGATAACATACATTATCAACTCTTGAAGCACTTTCCAGAACCATATTTGGAGATCCACTTACATATTTTGGAGATATTTTGACGTCAGGGAAATTTCCTTTATCGTGATGTTATAATTGTTCCAATAACTAAACCTGGACATGGCCATACCAACCCTTCAAATGATCGACCAGTTTCATAGCTAACTGCGTTTGCAAAATCAGTGATCACATGATAATCAACTAGTTTGGAAGTCTGAAATCAACAATCTACAATATGCATCGTGTTTTCCGTAAAAACAGCAGTGCCATTCATCATTTAGTATGTTTAGAATCAGTTGTGATAAATTTCAATATTAAAAAAACAACTTTTTTATCTAGAGAATGCATACTACATAGTAATACCCTGACACAGGGACCTATTCGGACCTTGATTTGTCAATTACAGACTCAAGGGATTACAGGGATCGCTATTTGTGGATGATTTTAATATTGCCTGACGTGACTGAGTGAGTTTTGTTTTGCGCCGCACTCAGCAATATTCCAGCTATATGGCGGCTATTGCGTGACGTGGTATAAAGATTTGTACTACTGAAATGCAACTGCAATTGTGTTTAAATAAAATTAAAAGTCATCAGAAGATGACATCCCCCCGGCCCCCACATATTTGAAAGAACAAATCATCTGACAGTTACTTAAAGTCCAGCTTGATTTCTTTTTAAACTAAGTCCAAATCGTTTCCTTGGAAATCATGAAAAATATAAATGCCAAAAATGTGTAAATTGCAAAAGGCACAACTTCAAGATCTGACTCATAAATCTGCGAAGTTCTGTTGAAAGATATTAAACGGTTTTCGAGTGGTTCTCCGGAAACGAAGCCCATCCCTCCCTTTTGAGGGTCCGAATCGTTTCCATGGAAACCGGGAAAAATAAAAACCCCCAAAATCGGTAAAGTAAAATAGCAAAAAGGCACCACATTAGGTCCTGTTTGATATATCTACAAAGTTTTGAGGAAATATATTGAACGGTTTTCGAGTTGTGCTCTGGAAACGAAGGTCATCCTCATTTTGAGACTAAGTTCAAATCGTTTCCATGGAAACCACGAAAATTAAAAATGACAAAAATCTGTAAATAGCAAAAGGCACCACTTTAGGTTCGGTTTGATATATTTACCATTTTTTGTTGAAAAATATTGAACGGTTTTTGAGTTATGCTCCGGAAACAAAATGATCATGGACGGACAGACAGACGGACGAGCCGACGACTAAATGCCTCCGCATTACATGCCGGGGGGATAAATAGAGAATACTACACTCGGTCTCATTACATACGAATTATACGAAACGAGTGTCCTTCCTATGGTATCTGACCGAGCGAAAGGTCAGATACCATAGGAAGGACACTTGTTTCGTATAATTCGTATGTAATGAGACCGAGTGTGGTATTTTATTTATTACCCATATCTTACATGCATTAAATTGACAAAATAGCGTATTTTTGTCCCCCGCCGTACTATGTACCTACGTCCCGATTCTTGTTAACGCGATATCTCATGAACTGTTGTACTCAATGTCTTCAAATTTGGTGACAGCTTACATTGGGGGATTACGCAGACACCGGATGATTGGGGTGACCTTGACCTTATTTTCAAGGTCACCACGACATTTTGTCCACTTTCAAACTCTTGTTAACGCGATATCTCTTCGACTGTTGTACCCAGTGTCTTCAAATTTGGTGATAGCCTACATTGGGGGATTACACATGTAGACACCAGTCGATTTGGGTGACCTTGACCTTATCGTCAAGGTCACCATGACACTTAGGACACTTTTCAAACTCTTGTTAACGCGATATCTCATGGACCATTGTACCCAATGTCTTCAAATTTGGTGACCGCCTACATTTGGGGATTACGCAGACACTGCTTTATTTGGGTGACTTTGACCTTATTTCCAAGGTCACCACGACACTTTGACCTCTTTTCAACTTATTTAAACGCGATATCTCATAAAACATTGCACCCAATGTTTTCAATTATGTTGACAGCCTACATTGGGTGATTATGCAGACACCAGTCATTTCAGGCATCTTTTATGTGACCAAAAATTAAAAAGTAGTAAAAATAGATATTCCATTCTTTAGCGGCGGGGGACATTGCCATATCAGTGGCAAACACTTGTTGTTATTGTTATGGTTTCAAACCGAAACCGGTTGGGGAAGAATGTTGTACAGTAGTACACTTTTTGCATGACGTCACACTTTAATGACGTCACTACGCCTTGCTCGTACTGCCTTGGTAACCGACGTCACGAGGCATGCCTTGTACAGCCTCCTTCATTGAACTACTGTGTAGCACCCCGTTTCGTAGTTTGCAGATGCTTCACTCGGATACCATCATTGGTGGCAACTTTGCGTTTGTTTTTCGACTCATATAATGTCTCAGTTCGACTCACAATTAAACAGCTATATGACAACTTTCGCAATGTTTACATTCCCACAATGCATATAAGTTGTAGAATGAATGAATTCACGTGTTTGTTATGAATGAAAAAGTAGTTCGGTCCTAACGTGACCTAACTGAGAGGTCATCGGTTATCCAATCAAATCGTTAGAATCTCAGGTCAAGTCGTTACGTCACAGGTCAACGCGATACGACACTCGTGTGACGTACGAGATTAGTATGCAACTACCCATACGTTGACAACGTGGGTAATAAAAAAGGATCTGAATTTAGATGGTGACCCCATTTAGTTGTAAAGGAAGCTCTGTTCTTGGAATCATTTTCTATCAACATTTGACCTTTCGGCCACATAAAAATATTGGCATAAAAAAAATGCTCAAAGCAACTTGATGTATCTAAAGTTATTCAAACTCGAAACGAACTAAAATTAAATTTATACACAGTAGGGGAACTTCACTTTTAATTTACGATTGACAAAAAATGGGAGATGTATCGGCGTCAATCAATGTTGATATGAAAATATTGATTGTGTTGAGAGTACATCACAACTTGCACGTCCTCAAGACCATAGTCGTTTGTACATCACCACGTCATTTGTACAGTAATCGCTCATGAAAGATGATTGGTGTTGGACGTGAAATTCCCATGTGTACGACCAGCTAGAAACAAACACGAACAACTGTGTGATGGAAGATGATTGTCAAACTTAATGGTCCACAGTGATTTATCGACCTTCTTAAAAACTGTCAAAAACGAGAATGACACCCCATGCACGTGCGTGGGGCTATTGCGTTGTGCAGGTGTATCCCATGTGTATTGTTTAGTGGTGGTGATAAAGAGAAATGGTGGTGCGTTCACAAGATGCCTGTCTTTGAAAAGTTTGTTAACTCTGATACTTCCTATCCAAATTGAACGTTCAGGTTCCCCTACTTATTTATAAAGTGTGTTAGAAGAATATATGCTTAAAGGAACTTGATGTATTAAACTGGAAACTAACTAAAACTAGAAAGTGTTTTTACTCGTAAAAACATATGTTTCCCCTTTCCCCCAATTCAACGTTGAGACCTCAACAGAAAAAACCCAGTTGAAACAGCAAAAATATAAATTGAAAGAAAAGTTCAAACCCCCAAAAGGCACATCTACATGATATGGAGAGGCAGTATAGCAAATTTGGTGAAAATGGGTGAATTAGTTTCAGAATTATGCTCCGGAAACGAACTTTACTTTTCAAAAAGACAAAGTCCAAATCGTTGGCATGAAAACAGAAAAAAATAAAATTGAAAAAAACCTAACCAACCCTCAAACCCCCAAAAGACACATTTACATGATATGGCAGTACACCAAAGTTAGTGAAGATTGTTCAAGGAGTTTTAGAGTTATGTTCTGGAAACAATGGGAACGCCGACGTCGACGCTGACGGAAACTCAACCAAAAACAATATGTCTCCTGGACACTCGGTGTAGACATAATTATTAGATTATGTTTGTCGCCAAGGCCTTAGGCTTTGCCTTGGGGGCTTCAAAACATCACCAATTCCTGGTTTGTATGTGGAGGCTGATGAACCATCTCTATAACTACGCTCAAATTGTCTTTACAAACCATTTCTTACATTCCTAAATTACATTCTGTTAAATCAAATCCCACCTGTGACTGTGTTCATAATCATCTATTTAAATAAGCCTCTCCTCTCCGATGCGAGTGAGTGAGTGAGTTGAGATTTAAAGTCACATCGGCAATATTTGAGCCATATCGCGACTAATGCTATATTCAAACAAATGCTATATAATTCATGATAAATACACATAATTTATAAACCCTGTCAACGAAGAACATTAAAATGACTAGATTATCACAACATGGGTTAAAACTAGCTAGCATACGTCTTTAAATATAGACAACTATTTTGTACAATACAATGTGAAAATGGGTTATTGATCTCCAACAACTGAAGGTAGATCACCAAACAAGGGTCCATGGGGACCTGATGCGAGTACTTAACTCGAAAACATATCTCCTTGTCGCCATCTTTGCTCTCCTACTTAGCTATTGGTGAGGCTCACTGGTAGATCTTACACTGACCACATTAAAAAAAATCAGTCACAAATGAATTTAAATGAAAAACAATGTAATCCATCAGGAAATTAACAAAATACATACTAATCCTTACATATGGATCCAAGGATGGTGGCGCACTTGCTTGGGCCACAGATATTGATCCAGAACCGTATCTTTTCGATTACCAGATAACAACTCCATTTTCGCAGCAGAAGCAACCGCTATGTTAACAGCTCCTAAATGTATCAATAAACACCCAAAATATAAACATTATGTAATAGTTTCGGACTCAATCTCCTGCCTCAGAGCTCTTAAAACTTTGTCTTGTTAACGTTCACTTTTAACAGAAATAATTGAATTATGTAATAATCTTGCTAATACTTTCATGTTTACAGATGGAAATTAGTATGCAGCAGAGGGTTCGGGTGATACTGGCACAGTCATGCTGGTAAGGCTCATCATCAGCTCGTCCCTCAGCGCTACCTGGTCGAACAACACTGAAGCCTTCTGCATTACCCATTACTGTCACAAGAGCTGCGCTCCCTGTGGAGAACCCGGGCACTATCCTGATCTGCACCTGCTGGAACATTGGATTCAGAAACACGAACCTTTTTTCGTCCGGACAATATTTAAACAATGTACGTGAAGATAAGCGAGGTTGAACTGTACATATGGATGTGAGGGTGATTCGTTTTGTTTACGCTGTGACACCAACAGAAGTTCCTCAGAAGCTACTTTAATGTCACTCTTCAATGGTCCCACTAGCTGATACTGATGTGTGTCTCGTGTGTAACTGATGGCTGCACATCGTGGTTCTTCTCGGCAGGCCACGGCACATCTACGTTGTGACCTTGTGGTGACCACGACAGAGGATGTTCGGCCCTTGTACAGGAACCGTGGTGTTCTTTTCAGAAAAGCAGCGATTTGATCATCTGAAATAGAGCTGAGCACATGATTAATGAATTCCCCATCAAAAGCTATGACATTTGATAATGCATGCACGTGTCACAGTATTATGGCATTCCTTCTCATGTAAATGAACTGGTCTTCATCGACCCATGCTTGTCGTAAGACACGACTAACGGGATCGTGGTCAGGCTCGTTGACACGCTTGACACATGTAATCGTATCGCAATTGCGCAGATCGATGCTCATGATATTGATTACTTGATTATCTGGTCCAGACTTGATTATTTACAGACCGTCGCCATCTGGAGCATTGCGGAGTGCAGCGTGAAACTAAACTCACTCACTCACCTGTGGCAGTGGACAGAACTCCTTTCTCCCAGCTGGCCCAGTAGGGACAAAAATGAGTACAGTGTTTTCGACAAAAACCCTGTTCCCTCATAACATGAAGGTGTGCAACTACAATAAGAGACATTTTCAAAATGTAAAACACGGATTACTGACTGTAAATCATGAAATGAGGAAGTACTTTCTTGAATTTTACTACAAGATTAGCTAGCGGTGACGAATGGTCGCGAATAGCCCTGAAATGTTATGCTTGTTGCAGCAATGTTCTGTATTGGAAACCTATCAGCAACAAAGTCATGCCATAGCTAACTGTTACATAGAGAAACAATATGGTCGAATGTCTTTGATATAAGTCACTATTTGCTTTAATAACTGCATGACACACTAGATATTGAATTCTCAGGACCGTTCATATTTTCCATATGATGTGTCCATATGTGTAACATGTCCACTCTTTACCTGGTTGATATACGTCATCAGGGGTTGACATATGCAGCATACCTGTGTCATTTCCCACGATAATGATAATCAGGTTATGCATATGTGTTTTGAGGTACTACATGTACACTGGACAACACAGTGACGTTTTCATGTATTGGAGTATAGGGTCTTTACACATGTCTTGTCCGGGCAACGATTGACATGGGCATAAATTGTGACCCTTACAAAGTTTGGTGATGAGCACAGCTGACAACATTTTTTATATTCAAAATATGTCAGTGATGCTATTTCGTGCACAAGTGCATTTACGTTTTTAGATGAGTTAATACATCTCTTCTGTTGGGTTTGTGTGAAGGGTGTGGTCTGAAACCATATATATTTATGTGTCACAAAAGCTTGTTAACGATATATAACCCTGATTACGTCAATGTATGTGTGGATAAACTCTGGGACAAAGTGATAGTAAAGCAGCACGAGGTTATGCAGCACTGGGTACTAGTAATTAGCAGCACGAGGTTATGAACACAAACGATGTTGGAAGCTGACCGTAAACGACCGCTACTGGGTACGTCAAACACAATGTCGACGGAACATATATTCGAAGTTGTCAGGGCCTGAAATTCGTTTACCTCTTAGAAAATTCACTTCAATAACTGAAAAGTCATGACTTAATAAAGACGAATAAGCTATGTTGAAGATATATTAGTCATCACTTTAAAGTAGCAAGTTGCTCTGTAACACTTGCATTTGTAATATAGAAATGACGATAACCAATTTTTTTCGATGATTTCTCGTTGGTAATGAAGCAATCATCAATTGTGAGATTTCAACCAATTCCCAACACTACTGGGTACGTCCAACACAATGCAAATGACAGAGTAAATTCGTACCTATTTGTCCTACTTCAGAGAGACAAATAAGCTATTTGAAGATATACTGGCGAGTCTGTAACACTTGCATTTGTAATATAATGTCCAGTTCCTTACCACAGTTAAGCACAATCGCACACAGCAGTCTCAAGATCACCAAGTTACTTGTAAGTATCCGCCTATCATCAACATGATTGGGTTCGATGTTTTTTTCCCAGCGCCTTGAGCATGCACCAGTTGCGTGGATATGTGCGCTATTTAAATATACTATAATAATAATTTAGTAGGTGTGCCGATACATTTTACGAAAAGGTTTTATGGTAGACGAGTGCAGGCTACATTTCACGCATATTTTCATGTTGTCGTTTGCATACTCGCCTACCGCCATCATGAAAGGATGACGGAAATCACATGCCTTAGTTAACAGCACTCATGCCAACTGTTGTTGATTAAACACTGATGATGTCGGCACAATTGCATGTTTGCTTGTCTGTGATGGGTGCCAGTTGTACTGCTGGGCGTGGAGAGAAAATATTTAGACAAATTAGGTTTTTGTCATCACGGTCATTGGTCTTCCTTGGACTTCCAGGTCTTGAACGATTCTTTACTTCACGGTGGCCATGTGCTTCATCAGCCGACTAGTAACTGTGTGGTTATTGAGGCACCGATGTCCAGAAAAGACATCCTTCGCCATGCTTGCCATTAACTTGTGGATTTTTTTGTAAGTCAACGTCTTGCTATGACGCCAAAAATATGTCCAATGATCTAATTTAAATGAGCATTTGAGCAATGAACAATCAATGTTTATGCAACATCTTTATTGACAGAGACACTGAACGATGTTATCAAGGAGTCAACCAAAACGTAATAATCAATATCTGAATACAATTGAATAGCTTTATTTCAATTGATATTCAGGCCAACGACCTATTACAACACAGAATGCATATACAATATATTAGCATAGTGCGCATGCGTAAAATATGCATATTCATTTGTAGTAATATATTGGTACAATGATTCATGTGTGGGGTAATAATATAGAAGTTCTCAAATTCATTGCATGATGTAAATACATTGAAACATTTCTAATAATGCTTTCATTTTTATTTGACATTAGGTAAACAAACTGATCTATAGAAATCGTC